TTGATAAAACCACTGCCATGAAACAAATGTGACCGACTGTCAGCGGAGCTACACCGTCACAGACTACAGTCAGAGTCTGGACTGGTGACGACATGACCCACAGTCACACGTACACTTTTCCACCGCAACCCTACTTTGAACCACACAGTGAAGATGGTGAACAAAATCTGATCTGATTTACACCTGAAGGACAGAAGGGAGATATACCGTGTGTGTGTGTGTGTGTGTTCACCACTATTTCACGTTTGTGTACATTTGTAAAATAAATATGATTTTATTTAAAAGCCAATCATTTCCTTTCTGACATAAAAACAGGTATTTACAGCCAGGGTTTACTAGAAGTAAACCTAAACTAAACAGTGAGTGAATCAAAGTTCGTCGTCACTCTAACAATTATTTAACCTTAATGAATTAATCACGACCTAAACTGATCGTAGAAAAAGTTACAGCGTTGACGTCATGACGTAGCTCAGGATAATCTTGCAATCCTTAATAACTAATTATAAACAGTGCACGTCGACGCGTGTTACGTCATGAAGGTTGGTCATAAGATGCATTTGAGGAGATGCGTAAAAACATGAACTACGTGTAGCGGAGGAGCGGGATCCGTATCTGGTTCTGAAATAAAGTAATCCGTGTGATGAAGGCCAGGGGTTACAGTGTATTATGGGATGGTGTGAATTCTTTATCGGGTAAAAACATCGTACAGAATAATCTCAATTTTCCCTGCTTTCACTCTGTAGATATCTCACTTTAAACCCAGGTTCTCGGTCTCACTGACCGGATTCACGTGAAGTACACAGTGGGTACTTGAAGTGGTGACGAAGACCCGGGTGTTTCGGTTCACAAATGGTCGCAAAACTAAAGAAAATCAATTTCTAATTTCTAATTCTAAATGTTGTGTGAAACTGGTGGTTCGACTGTCCGCCGTTTTTTTCATTAGAAATGTAATGAGCTGAGACATGCCGTAAACAGACTGGACTGCTGCAAAGTGACTCTGTCTATCATAGCGTCGATTAGCTTCGATTAGCTTAGTGCTAAGATGCTAAATCAGCCGAGGTTCATATTCGTCTCCCACTGTGACTGTGAGGCAGAATTAAAACCCCTTTTAATTTTTTATGTGAGTCATTTATGACACTCAGATTTACACTTTTAGATGTTATTTTATTTTTAAAGAGCTAACCGGCTATTATGAAAACAAACGTGGATTCTTTTTTTAACTCATTTTCCATGAAGCTGAGTAATACTTGAGAATCCGCCAGTTCACCTTGGCGACGTGACGTCACCTTGACCTTGGTGAAGAGTGAGTTCTCATGTTTCACAGGTCAGCAGTTCTGAGTCAGATCAGAGTTTAAAATCAGCGGGGTCTGCATCCGCCTGACCTCCGAGCAGCAGAGGTCAGTGTTCTGTAGGACTGTGACGTGTTCCCGCCCTCAGCAGCCTGATCCAGGTCTAAACTCAAGTACAGACCAGGACTGGTTCGATCCATTTGAAATGATCAACATAAAAAGGTTAATGATTATTTATATCAACTGAATACACTGTTTACATAGAAACTATCTGTTGGCTGACATTTAAAACACTTGGATTAATGGGAACCAGGTGGTTAGTGGTTAGTTAGTTAGTTAGTTAGTTAGTTAGTGGTGTTGTTGTCACTGGATCAGGAGCTTAAATACATTCATTTAATTGATGAAAATAAGACTTTTACCTTGATCATAAAGTTTTAACTGAAGCATTTCAAAATTGTTTTCTCTTTAATATCTTAATATCTTTATATTAATATCTTATTATTTTTCATTATCTTTATTTTATTGTATTGTTCTTTTTGAAATAACTCCCCTTCAAACAGAAGCTCGTCGCTGAGATCTTCTCTGTCTCCGTCAGGACACAGTACGTGAGTATCTCAACTATTGTGGAATATGAAGTATTTAACGTCAGTAAAATATCCAAATGTTTAATCAATCATCCTGAGTCTGATTCTGCGGCTGACAGTGAAGCACCTGGGCTGAGACCAAACCCTGGATGAACCCGAGGCCGTTGTTTTTCTGAACGACTTCCTCGTCATCAGTGAAATCATTGTTTTCTGCCCCGTGTTGTGAAGAAACACTCAAGTCAGACCGCAGCAGCTTGTTTTGATGCTGTTATTGTTCCTGGTATAAAGACCTGGAAACCACTGGTCTGTATGACAGCGCTCAGCCTGTCTGGTAAACAGCCATTATCTCCACGGTACCAGGTGCAGCCAGTACCAGCTGAGCTCCTACAGAGACTTCCTAAACCCTGTTTATCCTGTGGTTGGCTGGCTGTTGGTCACGGCCTAAAAATGGTGCTGCCAAATACCAGTGGACTCGTGTTTACAAACAGTCCAGAACACGGAGAACACGTTTGGAACCTTTTCTTCATAAAAACCATGGATCCAGGATCCTGGTCTCTGTTCTGTCAGAAGTGATGTTTCCACCCCAGCTGTGGTGGCAGTCTCTGTCTCTGTAATGTGGTAATTAGTGTGTGTGTGTGTGTGTGGGTGTGTGTGTGTGTGGGTGTGTGTGTGTGTGCGTGTGTGTGTGAGTGAGAGAGCCTCTCTCTCTCTCTCTCTCTCTCTCTCTCCTGTGCTGTGAATCTCTCCTGTGCTGTGAACAAAAATCTGAATCCAACCAAAACATCTGGTTTTAGTGACTAGGTTAGCATTTTCCAAACAGGTTTTCTCAGCAGTTCCTGAACCACCAATGGTGGCGCTGTATCAGGTGTCATGAAGTTGCAAAAACTTTCATAGTGGCCATGCAGGTTTTGGGGGAGGCAGGTGGAGGAATGCAGACAGGCCTGGGGAGGAGAGACCTGAACTGGAATGAAGGGTCTGGACTGTAGTCCAGGTGCTTGAATTCAAGGAGACCAGAGTGAGTTCAGAAGAACTGGCTGAAGGAAGTCCTCATCCAAAGGTAGGAATGACTCTCCCTGCTGGATCACTCATCTGTAGTGAAAGTCCAGCTGCTCATTACCATCTGACTCTCTCTCTCTCTCTCTCTCTCCCTCCCTCCCTCTCTCTGTCTTACCTGTCTGCCCCTCACTCGTCCTCCCTGTCTCCTCCCTCATGACTGCCTTATATATAATGGTCACCTCTCCAGGAGTCACTTCTCTTCAGTGGACACTGCTATGACCTAGTACCACCGTAGTACCACCGTAGTACCACCGTAGTACCAGCAGGTTCTGTTCTTTCACGGTGAGAATGACAAACCTTGTTTTTTTATTTCCTGTTTCTAGATGAAGACGTTTGAGATGATTGATAAATAAGATGTTTTTGTCTTATTTGACGCTGATGTCGTCGTCGTCCTCTCCTCCTCACAGTAAAACCCCGGGGGTCCATGTCTCCGTCTCTGGCCAGGTCTGCTCCCAGTGAGCTCAACCACTGGTGGAGTCAGCTCCGGTTCCGCCTTCAGAACAAGAAAGGATGGAACGAGATGTTGGATGAGATGTTTCTGCTGCACACCAAATAGTAACGAACCGATTTTAGACGAACGCTGAGTCCGAGGTTTGATTTTCTGTGACGATTGTTGACGTGGTTCTTTTCTGCTTCCCTCAGCATGAATGACATTCCTCTGTTCTACGCATCCAAAACAAACAGCACAGACTGCATCAGGAAACTGTTGAGCTGCTCCTCCACCAACATCTTTGAGCGAGGTGAGGTCAACGCTGTCACGGCGTTCTTGTTTCAGGGTCCAGGTCTTGGTTCGACCAGTGACCGACTCCTGACACCCTGAAGAGCGACTCATTTGTATCGATTTTTAACCCGTTCACGACGCATCGTAACTTTACGTCCACGCCCCCTACAGGAGCTCTCGGGGAGACGGCACTTCACGTAGCTGTGATGAACGACAGCCTGGAGGCCGCTGTGGCTCTGATGGACGGAGCTCCTGAACTCATCAACGAACCCATGACCTCTGAACTCTTCCAAGGTTAAAAAGTCACACACACATTTCACACTGCGTCACCGCAGCTTCTGTGCAAAGAACGTGCTGATTGGTTAGTGTTTGGTATTGATGTCGTCACTGTGGAACGACCCTGTGTCAGAGGTCAACCTCTGTCAGAGAGGTCAAGCTGTGTCAGAGGTCAAGCTGTATCAGAGGTCAAGCTGTGTCAGAGGTCAACCTCTGTCAGAGAGGTCAAGCTGTGTCAGAGGTCACGCTGTGTCAGAGGTCACGCTGTATCAGAGGTCAAGCTGTGTCAGAGGTCACGCTGTGTCAGAGGTCACGCTGTATCAGAGGTCAAGCTGTGTCAGAGGTCAAGCTGTATCAGAGGGAGTTTTTGTCCCCGTTTTTTTTTTTTTATTTACAACAGAAAAATACTTCACAGCTGTTTGTTGTCGTCTACTGTAATACTGTCGATCTCTACTGTAGTACTGTTCATCTCTACTGTAGTACTGTATATCTCTACTGTAGTACTGACGATCTCTACTGTAGTACTGACGATCTCTACTGTAGTACTGACGATCTCTACTGTAGTACTGTTCATCTCTACTGTAGTACTGTAGATCACTACTGTAGTACTGTAGATCTCTACTGTAGTACTGACGATCTCTACTGTAGTACTGTTCATCTCTACTGTAGTACTGTATATCTCTACTGTCGTACTGTAGATCTCTACTGTACTACTGTAGATCTCTACTGTAGTACTGACGATCTCTACTGTAGTACTGTAGATCTCTACTGTAGCACTGTCGATCTCTACTGTAGTACTGTTCATCTCTACTGTAGTACTGTATGTCTCTACTGTAGTACTGTAGATCACTACTGTAGTACTGTATATCTCTACTGTCGTACTGTAGATCTCTACTGTAGCACTGTCGATCTCTACTGTAGTACTGTAGATCACTACTGTAGTACTGTATATCTCTACTGTCGTACTGTAGATCTCTACTGTAGTACTGACGATCTCTACTGTAGTACTGTATATCTCTACTGTAGTACTGACGATCTCTACTGTAGTACTGTATGTCTCTACTGTAGTACTGTAGATCTGTAACTGCAGTGCACCCAGCTGACACACACACTCTGTCTGTGTGTCCCTGCTGACTCAGGCGTCACCCCCCTCCACATCGCCGTGGTGAATCAGAACACCAACCTGGTCCATCACCTCATCTGTAGAGGTGGTGACGTGGTTAACCCCCGAGTGACTGGCCTGTACTTCAGGAAGAGGATGGGCGGACTCCTGTACTACGGTACGTCAGAGTGACTGGTGTTTGAGGTGTGACCAGGAAGAATGAGATATAAATATATAAAAAAAAAAGACACATTTCTTAATAACAATAAAGCGCTGATTGTCTTCTGATTGGTCCACAGGTGAACACGTCCTGTCGTTCGCTGCTTGTGCAGGAAATGAAGACATTATCTCCATGGTGGTGGAAGCGGGGGCCAGCACCAGGGTCCAGGATGACCGAGGTACAGTACCACGTGTCACCGTGTGTTTGTCAGTCTGTAGTCAGTACTGCAGTACTCATGGAATACCGCGTCTGTCTGTGCCCTCCTCACTTCCTCTCCCCCTGGTGGTGTCCACAGGAAACACAGTGCTTCACATTCTGGTTCTGCAGCCCAACAAGGTGATTGCGTGCCAGGCCATCGACCTGATCATGGCCCACGACGCTGAACTGGACCGGCCGCTGCCGCTCGACATGGTGCCTAACTTCCGCGGCCTCACGCCCTTTAAACTGGCTGCAAAAGAGGGAAACATAGTGGTGAGTCGGGCAGTGGGAGGACAGCCTCACCCTCCAGTCATGACCCCCCCATCCCCCCATCCCCCCATCCTCGGTGCTCAGATTCCTCTGTGTCACAGGTATTCCAGCACCTCGTCAATAAGCGACGTGTGGTCCAGTGGAGTCTGGGACCTTTGACCTCCAGCCTGTTTGACCTGACGGAGATCGACTCGTGGGCCGACGACATGTCAGTGCTGGAGCTGATCGTAGGCAGCCAGCAGAGGGAGGTGGGTCACGCCCCGGCAGGTGCTGCACAGTCAGAGACAAACAGTCAGCTAATACATATTTCTAATGTCTTCGATGTTGTGAAGGCCAGGAGGTTACTGGAGGTCACCCCTGTGAGACAGCTGGTCAGTCTGAAGTGGAACCTCTACGGAAAACACTACTTCAGGTCAGTTCACCGTCACCGTGACTGAAGAAGAAACACCCAGTCAAAACAGAGATTCATACTCTCCTCCCGTTGGTCAGGCTGCTGCTGTTTCTCTACCTGCTCTACATCGGAATCTTCACACTCTGTTGTGTGTATCGCCCCCTGAAGGACGCTCCTGAGAACTACACCAGGTCAGAGATGGACAAAACCATCCGTGTCCAGAAGACGCTCAATGTGGGTCGGAGTCGAACACAGGGTTCATTAGTACACGGTAGTCGTCCTTCGCTTGAGTGGATCTGTAATTAAATGACCTCTGACCTCCCACTGTGTTCCACCCCAGGAGAGCTATGTGACACATGAGGACAACCTGAGGCTGGCAGGAGAGGTCATCAGTGTCCTGGGGGCCGTGGCCATCCTCCTGCTGGAGGTACAACCACCACCACCACCACCACCTGTCTGATTGTCATTAGAGATGGAACCACACACACACACACACACACACACACACAGTCCACTGATCTCCTTTCTTTGTCAGCACTGGGTCAAATCCCATCACCAACTGACGTGGTCTGTGAACCTCATCAACTGACATTGTTCTCTACAATAACAGAAGAGAAAAAAAGTCCCATTTCTGTCCAGAAACTCTGGACCATCTCCATTGATCTGCTCTGATTAAACTGGTCAAACTGGCCTGGTCTGGTTGACCTGGTTAACTGTCCATACAGTAAACAACAGGAAGTGGAGAGAGTTCCACTGGAGAACACTGTTGGTGTCTGTGGAACAAGTTCATCCCACGTTCTGTTCCAAAACCTGAACGTCTCTCAGCCCACGTAGGACCTGCCGTCTGGGTTTGATAGTGGGTTTTTAGGAGCATACTGCCACCTACTGCAGTGGAGTGGGTAGTGTCATGGTCTGACCAGTGACTCTCCTTACACCTTGATGAGAATTGTCAGAGATTTGTATTGATTTTTAAGCCTGGTTAAGACTGGTGGTTTCATGTGTTTTAACTCCACCCCCGCCCTCACAGATCCCTGATATACTGAGGGTTGGAGCCAAGCGCTACTTTGGGCAGACGGCACTGGGCGGTCCTTTCCACGTCATCCTGTGAGCGCAGCCCGTCCTGAGGAGGTCAAATGATACACGGTGATGATGATGGTGTCATTTCTAACTTGTCCTCCGTCTGTGTTGCCGCGGCAGCATCAGCTACGCCTGCCTGGTGGTGCTGCTGTGTGTCTTCAGGGCCAGTGAGGTGCAGCGAGAAGACCTGGTGATGGCCGTGTGTTTGGTGCTGGGCTGGTGCAACGTCATGTTCTTCGCCCGAGGTTTTGAGATGCTCGGTCCTTACGTCATCATGATCCAGAAGGTAAACGTGTTTCTGTCTGGGTTCTGGTTCTGTTTGTGACCTCGGACCAATCAAAGCTGGACTTGGTTTCTTCTAGATTATATTTGGGGACCTGACAAAGTTCATGTGGCTGACGATGATTGTGCTCGTTGGATTTTCTACCTGTGAGTATGTCGTATTCAGTGTCGTATACAGTGTGATGGAGCGGTGCAGCGGGAGAATCGGCAGTCTCTGATTGGTCGGTTCTTCTTCCTTGGTTCTCCTCCTCAGCTCTGTGGATGGTCTACATGACCCAGGAGCCTGATTCCATCCCGGCCTACCGCTCCTTCCCCATAACTCTCTTCTCCCAGTTTGAACTGAGTGTGGGCCTCATAGATCTACCTGTGGATCACACCATTATTACGCCACCTATTGTTCATGTGATACACTGCGCTTTCTCTGTGGTCTCCTACATCCTGCTCCTGAATCTGCTGATAGCCATGATGAGTGACACCCACTGGAGGGTGGCCCAGGAGAGGGACGAGCTGTGGAGAACACAGGTACACACACACACACACACCCACCATGACGGAGAGGCTGTGACGTGTGTGTGTGACGTGTGTGTGTGTGTGTCTAAGAGGACTGTACTGGGTTCATCTGCAGGTCGTGGCCACCACTCTGAGTCTGGAGAGGAGACTTCCCCGCTGGCTGTGGCCTCGCCTCGGGGTTTGTGGTCTGGGTTACGGCCTGAAGGAGCGCTGGTATCTGAGGTGAGGAAAGAAGAAAACAACAAATGTCCCTGGTACTAATATTTAGTACCAGATGTGAGTGTGTGTAACCACCGACCAGAACCTGGGGGCTGTAAGTCCAGGTCCTGTCAGTAGGTGGCAGGTCCTGTAACCTTTGAATGAAAAATATTCATGTATATCTGTGGCCAGTAGGGGGCACCATCTACACTCATGACAGGTGAACTCTGCTATTGTCATAAAATGTGTCTGAAAAGAAAAGTTCATCCTCCAGAAAACTGAAGATGAAGAAGAAGAAGAAGATGAAGAGATGGGAAGAAGCCTGTTAGCCTGTTAGCCTGTTAGCCTGTTACGCTAATATACCGTAGCCTTCTTATAGGATCTATAAACTCATTTTAGATTAGTTCTTTGATTTTTTGTGAAATAAAATAAATCTTTCTCATATCTGTATATATACATATAAATATACATATACATATATATGTGTGTTTATATTATACATTATATATATGTATAATATGTAGAGCTATATATATATATATATATATATATATACACAGATATAGCTCTAACTTTTGGGTTCTTTCTTTTTTTTCTCCACGCTGCTCAGAGTTGAAGACAGAAACGACTCAATGATGCAGAAGATGCGACGCTACATCAAAGTCTTCTCCAAAGAAGAGGAAAAAGAAAAGGACGGGATGGAAAAGACCGACTCAACAAGGAAGTCCGGCTCTGGAACCCCGAGGCTCCGCCCCAAAACCAGTGGAGGGCCTAACGACAGGAAGTCTCTGACAGGATGGCAGGTGATTCGCTACAGCACCTTAGGATTGGAGCAGGAGCCGGAGGAGCCGGAGGAGGACCAGAACATTAAAGTGGTCTAGAGCTGGACTCTGAAGGTCCACACTTGGACTAGAACACGTTCTGGAACATTCAGTGACGTTCTCTTTACATCTGAATTCCTTTCAGAAAATCATTTGTGTGTGTACCTCACTGCAGTACTGGAGTACACATGGAGTACACATGGAGTACACATAACACTGGTGGTAGAGAAGGGTCACTGCAGTTGTAGCTCAGTCTGTGAGAGGGGGCGGGGGGGGCAGTGTCAGTAGACGACCATTCTGCTGTCCGACCTGACGTAGTGTGTGTTTTGGGTTTTGAGGGTGGAGCTTGAATGAGGAGAGACAAAGGAGGTTGGGTGTTTTTTTAACTTTAACCTTTAACCTCTTTAACCTTTTTTACCAATGATAAAGAGTAAATTAATACCTGGAAAAAGTAGCGTCCTGACAGGTGAGCAGAAGTACTCTGATGAGTTCAGAAATACCTGTATTCAAGTAGAAATGTATGAGTGTGACTGTATCTCAGTTGTACTGCAGTTTTCCTACAACTAGAGGGTGGTGGGTTTGATTCCACACTTGGGACAGTATTCAACTGCAGTCTGCTCTGGGCAGTTTGGCGCCCTCTATCGCCTATTAGTTGTATTTTTTCCCTAAAGTTTTATGATACATCCCCTCCAGCAGATGGCGCACTAGTCAACCGTTTGAACTGTTCGTTCTGTGGGTTCTTTCCTGCTATGCAGATGGTCTTGTGTTCAATTCCCAGCTTAGGTCATGCCGTGAAGGTCGTGTGTGGCAGAAACTGTTGCTGTTCCTTCTGGAGATGAAACAGTGACTGAACCACAGACGCCTGGCTGCGTGGTGGTGAGTGGACGTCACCACAGTCGGACAGCTCACCTCCACAGGTTCAATTCCTTTGACGTCATCATTCAGAGACGTGGTGTCTGCAGTATTACGATATCAAAAGGCTGTTTGTTGGTTGTGTAGAATGTTTGTAGCATTAACCAGGTCCACACGTCAACAGTTACTGTATCAGGTTGTTTTATATGGAAATAAAATGCAGAACCATTGATCAAAGTCATGACAAAGATGAAAGGAGTACACAGTTAGACAGGCTGATCAAAGGATTCAGAGGATTAATGGTGCTACACACTTCAACACGCAGAACTAAAGAACCACACGGCGCCATCTGGTGAGCGACCATATTTGTGGTTTTGTTACTAAACCTCTCCCTCTAATTCCAGTTCACTCCTGTCCAGTCTGGTCTAGAAAATGTTAAAGGAAAACAAAATAACAAGAGACGAGTTATGAAACCTTCTCTCATCTGTGATTGGCCAGATGTTTGCTGCTGACGCCTGACTGCAGCAGAGGAAGGTGGACGACAGTGGTTTGGACTTTAAAATCACGTGTTCTCAGAACTGGACGTGACAGATGAAGTAGCTGAGGTCCCTGCAGGAAGCCTTCATCCAGTTGTTCTCAGTCGGACCCTCACCGTGGAGGAGGACACAGTCGCCTTTTCTGCTGTCCGACCTGACGTAGTGTGTGTTTTGGGTTTTGAGGGTGGAGCTTGAATGAGGAGAGACAAAGGAGGTTGGGTGTTTTTTTAACTTTAACCTTTAACCTCTTTAACCTTTTTCTGCAATGATAAAGAGTAAATTAATACCTGGAAAAAGTAGCGTCCTGACAGGTGAGCAGAAGTACTCTGATGAGTTCAGAAATACCTGTATTCAAGTAGAAATGTATGAGTGTGACTGTATCTCAGTTGTACTGCAGTTTTCCTACAACTAGAGGGTGGTGGGTTTGATTCCACACTTGGGACAGTATTCAACTGCAGTCTGCTCTGGGCAGTTTGGCGCCCTCTATCGCCTATTAGTTGTATTTTTTCCCTAAAGTTTTATGATACATCCCCTCCAGCAGATGGCGCACTAGTCAACCGTTTGAACTGTTCGTTCTGTGGGTTCTTTCCTGCTATGCAGATGGTCTTGTGTTCAATTCCCAGCTTAGGTCATGCCGTGAAGGTCGTGTGTGGCAGAAACTGTTGATGTTCCTTCTGGAGATGAAACAGTGACTGAACCACAGACGCCTGGCTGCGTGGTGGTGAGTGGACGTCACCACAGTCGGACAGCTCACCTCCACAGGTTCAATTCCTTTGACGTCATCATTCAGAGACGTGGTGTCTGCAGTATTACGATATCAAAAGGCTGTTTGTTGGTTGTGTAGAATGTTTGTAGCATTAACCAGGTCCACACGTCAACAGTTACTGTATCAGGTTGTTTTATATGGAAATAAAATGCAGAACCATTGATCAAAGTCATGACAAAGATGAAAGGAGTACACAGTTAGACAGGCTGATCAAAGGATTCAGAGGATTAATGGTGCTACACACTTCAACACGCAGAACTAAAGAACCACACGGCGCCATCTGGTGAGCGACCATATTTGTGGTTTTGTTACTAAACCTCTCCCTCTAATTCCAGTTCACTCCTGTCCAGTCTGGTCTAGAAAATGTTAAAGGAAAACAAAATAACAAGAGACGAGTTATGAAACCTTCTCTCATCTGTGATTGGCCAGATGTTTGCTGCTGACGCCTGACTGCAGCAGAGGAAGGTGGACGACAGTGGTTTGGACTTTAAAATCACGTGTTCTCAGAACTGGACGTGACAGATGAAGTAGCTGAGGTCCCTGCAGGAAGCCTTCATCCAGTTGTTCTCAGTCGGACCCTCACCGTGGAGGAGGACACAGTCGCCTTTGGACTGGTCTTCTGCCCAGAAGCTGCGAACAAGAGAAAAACACATGAACATAAAGAGAAGAAAGGTTATTGTTTCGTTCTGTCTGTGATGATCAGTGAAAAATAGAGCTGGTTATCAGCTGGTTATCAGCTGGTTATCAGCTGGTTATCACCTGGTTATCACCTGGTACTCACCTGGTTATCAGCTGGTTATCACCTGGTTATCACCTGGTACTCACCTGGTTATCAGCTGGTTATCAGCTGGTTATCACCATACCATAGTAACAGTGATTCTGCGATTATCGATATATTGCAATACATTTCCATTCACACCTACTGTCAATTTACAGGGACAGTGAACCTGGTCCTGTGTTTTAGGACTGGACCTGAACAGAAGCAGGCAGGTTCTGTGACCGACCTGAGGTTCCACTTCTCTCCAAAGATACCACTGATATAACTGTGTGTAAATAACAAAGAAAGGACAAAGATAATCACCCCGCCCTCAGGGCAGCGTTAGTGACCCAGCTCCAGGTTCTTCCTACTCGTCTCAGCCCGATCCAGTATTTCAGGGAGCCTTTCTTGGTCAGGAAGTCCTACAGAACACAGATCAGAGTATCATTTTCACTGCACTGAAACACAGAGGACCTTGTCCTCGTGCCAGCATCGGGGATGACGACTGAGACTTTAGCGCCACCTGGACTTCCTGGCTGGTGATGACGGCCAGCGACGCTCCTCTCTCTGCGCAGTAACTGCGACTCTCCGCCCAGTCCATCCTGGTGGTGGACAGGTAAAAGCAGGATCGATCCAGAGTCAGCCACCCGTTAGCACACTGCATGCAGCCGTAGGCTACAGGAGAGGAGGGACTGAGATCAGTGGTTCAACCTGTGGTCTGCACAACTGAGGAGGGCTGCTGGAATTCTTCTATGTGTTAAAGTGAATCCTAGGATAAGTTGTCCTTCACTTAGGAATGGGACAGTTAACAACATCCATCATTCCTGCAGAGCTCTGATGTCAATGACTGAAACCACCTCAACACACGTGTGGAGGCAACAGCTGTGGAGTTTTTATGAACCCTCGGGGTATTTCCCCTCTGTGTTTACTCACGGACAGGCTGGGTTTTGGTCAGATGGTCTTGGCATTGTTCCAGGCTGCAGGTTGTAGCAGATGGGCTGGTCCTGTCCTCAGGTGCTCTCTCTGTGTCTGGACAAACTGTGGTTGGAGACACCAGAGCAGAGTGTCTTCAGAGCTGAGGACTTTGTTATCTGATGTTAAGAGATCTACAGAAAATGAAATTCCTCCTAACCCTAACTTTATTTCTCCTCCAGATCACAGTGTCCATGTTCTCCCCCTCTGTCCCCCTCTGTCCCCCTCTGTCCCCCTCTGCGACACAACAATAAGACCAGCAGAATTCAACCAGAACACCTTTGTTTTACCTTTGTCCCCGTCCACATCCACACATAACTCTGATGAGGAACGTTCCTTTACGCCTTCGTCTTTCTGAACCTTACCATAATTCCAGAGGAAATGAAGATACATGATGAAACAGAAGCTCGTACCCACTGGTTGCTCTGTCTCAGTCAAATGTGCCTGCAGCTCTGCAGTTCAGGGACCGCCCTCCCATCACCATAGCAGCAACTGACGTTTGTTCCAAATTATTTATGTGGAACACTGCTGAGCTTGTCCTTCAGCTCTTGGATCAAATTTCATTCCCACAGACTTTTAATCAGCAGCTTGATAAAGTGTAACTCTACAGCTCTGCTGCCCTAAAGGGTTAATGTCTGTCCCATGTCTGTTGTTTCTGTAGAAACATTCTCCAAAAATAAGATTACATTTTTTTGACAGTTGATGTTGATAAGGGTTTGTTGTGGTGACATTTCACTCTGTTCTTGTTGTGACTGGTGAAGCTGACGTGTTGTGACTCCGAGCTCCGAGTGTTGATGAAAACAACAGTCTGATCGGCGCCGTCGTCGTTTCCTTCCTGGTTTCATGGACTTATTAACTGAACAGTGTGACACCACACACACAGTTGTTCTGTGATTGTTTACCTGCTCTGGACTCAGCTGCAGTGGAGTCGGCCTGAGGTGGACCTGCAACGGTAGAACAATGGTTTGGTTCTTCTACCAATAGAACACAGAACAAAACAACACAGTTCAACATTTGAATATCCAACACATGGTGACAGAACAGTCTAGAACCCCAGAGGATCTGGTTCCACTCCTACTGTACATCATACATACACAAATACAGCAATAATGAATGAATGAACTTTTACCATCATTCTGACCATTTCTGTCCAAATGATTTCGTACCTTCAGGTTTGATGTCCAGATGCAGCTCGTATTCATTCTGCTTTTCTCTGTCACCTTTCTTCTCTGCTTGGATCTCGTTCATCTCCATGGCTCCTCACTCTTCTTCTAACCTTCTGTTTGATCAAATCACATCTGACCATTGAGCTGCGAAGCTCTTAAAGCAGCGCAGGAAACTGAAAGTGTCCAGTTAGGACAGACCACTTCTGTCTCTGTGCTTCCTCCAAAGGACATTTACAGTAGTTTGGATTTTCTTTGTAGATTTAGTTTTTTATTACTACTCATTTCTCTGTGGTTGTGTTAGTTGTTATGCTTTGATGACTAGTTGACTAATCAACGCGTTTGACTTAATAAAATATGATCTTATATATTAATAGTAAAAGTCAGACAGTTCACAGTAAAGTCCCATCTTCACAGAAAAAAACTTGTTTTATTTTTAAATGTGGGGAGTTTTTGAATTCTTGTCACATGGTCCAGACGCAGGAGAAACAGGAAACAGAAACAGAGACCATAGAAAGATAAAGTTAACTCTTCATTGTGACACTGCAGACCACTGTAGACCACTGTAGACCACTGCAGACCACTGTAGACTACTGTAGACCACTGTAGACCACTGTAGACTACTGCAGACTACTGTAGACCACTGTAGACTACTGTAGACTACTGTAGACCACTGCAGACTACTGTAGACTACTGTAGACTACTGTAGACCACTGTAGACTACTGTAGACCACTGTAGACTACTGCAGACTACTGTAGACCACTGTAGACTACTGTAGACTACTGCAGACCACTGTAGACTACTGTGGACCACTGTAGACTACTGCAGACTACTGTAGACCACTGTAGACTACTGTAGACTACTGCAGACCACTGTAGACTACTGCAGACTACTGTAGACCACTGTAGACTACTGTAGACCACTGCAGACCACTGTAGACTACTGCAGACTACTGTAGACCACTGTAGACTACTGTAGACCACTGTAGACCACTGTAGACTACTGCAGACCACTGTAGACTACTGCAGACCACTGTAGACTACTGCAGACTACTGTAGACCACTGTAGACTACTGTAGACTACTGTAGACCACTGTAGACCAATGCACACAATCAAATGTAACCTCTGATTTTAACCCATCACCAAATAAAGGGGGCGGGGGCAGCTGAGCGCCCGGGCAGCAGTGAGTGGGGACGGTGCCTTGCTCAGAGCACCTCAGTGGTAACATGGCAGCCGGTGGACTCGAACCTGAAACCTTCCGGATCCAAGTCCACTTTCTTAACCCTCCCGTTGTCCTTTGCCTTTTGAACACACCCAGCGTCCTCTCACCGGTTCAAACTGTCCCAGGTGTGTGTCCAGGTGTGTGTCCAGGTGTGTGTCCAGGTGTGTGTCCAGGTGTGTGTCCAGGTGTGTGTCCAGGGGTGTGTGGGTGTGTGTCCAGGTGTGTGTCCAGGTGTGTGTCCAGGTGTGTGCAGTCTCTGTGTTCTACAGTCCTTGGACGGACAGACCTGACAACTCTTCCTCTGACTCACAGGGGTAGGTTTGACAGGGGCAGTGGAAGCTGGACCTGGACCTGGACCTGGACCTGGACCTGGACCTGGAAGTGTGGCGCTTGCAAAGTCAGTATAATATTAACAAAGAGTTGTGTGAACAGGGTATATAAAGAGTGTAATTATATAAGCAGTTTAAACAGTTGAATATTCAGGCAGTTCCAGCTGATTGAACAGTGTATGAGGTTTATTACAACCACATTTATACAACCAGTATTTCACTACTATTTAAGTTACTACACATAATACTAGATATGATATATGGATATTCCTTATACATACTGTATGTGTACACACATACATACAAATATATACATACCTATATACACAAAACACCCATAGATACCACATGTATACAGTATATGTAGAGGAGAGGGAGAGAGGAGGGGGAGGAAGGGGGAGGAAACGGAGGGAAAGTACTAAGAGCTGCGGCTAATTTATGTGAACGTTTTCTTAATACCGTCAAAAATGAAATACTGGAAATATAGTTCAGTGGATCTTAGACGGAACGAAAACAAAGTTACACAACATCTGCGCTGTTGCTTTCATTTTAGTCGCAGCAAAAGAGGCGAGAGGCGTGACCACGTGGGTGGAATGGCGGAAGCCATGTGGGATTACAGTACGACCACACCTGGTCATTTACATCATCAGGTGATCGACATGTTTGATCACCTGCGGGACAACCACCGGACTCTGTTCGTCAAAGTAAAGGTAAATACACCTTAACTGAATTAAATCACGTCAGTATTTTCATGACACAACATTGAAATAGTAGGAAGTTAAATATTTGCGTGACGTTTGCAATTAATTGTTTCGGTTTTCATTGTTACGCGCCATTAAACGTAACTTTATACTGTTCGTACGTAAACACAGCGCTTTTCGTCGTCAGACAGTTTCAGAGTCATTGAGCAGTGACTGTAGAAGAAAAGTCCAGGAACTTCGTGGACTTTTCTTCAACAGTCTGTCTGTTGTCAAATGTCCTCAGTCACTCAACACTTAGCATTAGCTCCTTTAGCCTCCTATCAGTGAGTTAACGTTTTGCTTCCTACACTGGGATGTCCGTTTCGTTTATTACTAATCCGTGTCTGTCATTGTAAATTAAATATAAACGATTCAAAATAACGGATAACTTTAATATGTGGCCACGTAAAATTAAACAAACTTTAAACATATTTCGACAGAAAGAAGGATTTACATTAACACGCTCTATTATTTGGGTGTTAATAAATACCGTATAATATACGTACGTTGTCTGGCTAATTTTCAATGTCCGCCCGCTTCCACTCAGCTTTGTTGACTTCGTATGGGTCTTTTCCATTGATTATTTTCAACTTGTCCAAGTATCTTGCCTTTGTAATTGTGTCCAGTTAACCTCTATACAACAATTTCGTCTGCTCGACCTCCGGCGATTTAATATTGTCTTTTGTTGTCTTTTGCGTCTTTTGCCGCACAACATGGCCAGCGGCGTCATGCATCATGGGTAATAACCATTATCGGAAAACCATCTATAGATGACTTAAATAATTTAAACAATTCCCCGGTGGATGAAAGATTAGTCCTTTATAAATGTATACTTGGATATACAAACATTGGTCGATATATTTAGTAGTGTACTGTTATATTTTGTGATGGTCTTCACAGACAGGCAGACCTCCTGTAGACCTCCACATCTGTTTTCTCTGACAGAAATACAGAGAACACATGCAGCAGGTTTTTGTTCTGTGGTGACTTTTCTTTCATTGCATGATGGGATTACTGGTATTTGTCTTGTACTTTCAGGTTACTTGTTACTTGTGTACTGTAAACTGTGTTCTTGTTGCTCTATATTTTTATGTTGGCATCAAAAGGTAGAAATGATGGAAACGTTGAGACCTACAGGGGGCGTTCCTGTGACTTTACACAGTCACAGTGTTGTGAAACCAACACATAAAAATGAGTGATAATCATAATATTGTGGAAAATTCTCTGACAATAATGGTACCAAGGAACTCTATAATAATCTATAATCGTCTGTTGTTCAGCTGCTGATGGCTTGGCCGTCGCCTTAACATCTCTATTATTACAAAATGACCAGGTGTTAAAAGAACAGGCAGTGAAGTCCAGCCAATGAACACAGAGAGTTTTATTGAGTCACACAACGTATAAAGCTCGAGTGGTGTCTGCAGAAATGACGAAACAGGAGAAAACAGGATCCATCTGATCTGATTTAGTCTAACCTCACCTCATTTCCTGTCATCTCACCTATGATTGGACAAAGTGCCTTTGATGTATGCTGCTAACTACTTGGAATAACAGTGGTTTTGACTTTGAAGTCATGTATGAAAGAGGCGACGGCGAGTTCAGAACTGCAGGTAACAGATGAAGTAGTTGTGTTCAACACAGTTTCCCTTGACCCAGTTCTCCTGAGGCGGACCGCGAGTGTTGATGAGCGCACAGTCACCGATCGAGTGATTTTCAGCCCAATACCTGTGAACAAGAGAAAAACATGAGAAAAAGATTGTTGTTAGAAAACACCAGGCAGGTCTGCGGCCGCCCGGAGGGTCCTAATACGTTTGTCATAACAACAATGGTGACTTCATCACGTCAGGGAGAGATGTCTACAAATGAGACAGACCAGGACACACGTCTCCGTCTCGGGGCAGTTACTGTATTAAAGCTTTGTGACCCAATCCCACCTTCTGATACATTTTTATAGACACAAACATGACGATGTTACCTAATCTGTGGCTTTGGTTGTTCAGCGCTCCCTAGTGACCATGTAATGTGGTTAGTGTGACCCAGTAAACATGTCCAAATATGGCAACAGCTTGGTGTTTCCTGTTGTTCTGGTATTTACTTGATGTTCTCTCCACCACACCCTCCATCAACCCAGATACCACTGATATAACTGTGTGTAA